AGTGCACATTTAGTGCATTTAGTACAATTGGCTTCAGTTGAGGTATTATTTCAGCTTTTCTAATGCTAATCAGCTGCTCCTGTTTGTAAACCCGCTTGTTCCCATGATTACGCATCATAACTCATCATCATTATTCATCTATGTATTACTTTTATGTATTAGTCATCTATTTGTTGTAATCATCTATCCTTGCAGTTGTTTATTACACAAAATAAATTATATTATCACACTTCTGGCCACATAGCGCTGATATTCACTGCACATGCCCATATTAACTTTTTCCAGCCAGGTGTTTTCCTTTTCCCATTCTTCCCTTTCTCTGAGGGGAACAAACATTGCTGCTCTAATGCTGGGCTCACACTGTGCGGTTTTAGGCCCATTTTGAGACGATTTTTGAGTCGGACCGGATTTTGGCCTTCATCGTGCGTCGTGTAGTATACGTGGGGTAACGAGAAGCTGATTAACACCTCACGACCAGCTCCCGATCATCAATCGCTCGTGAGGGTGTCACCACAGCCGCTCACACTGCTCACGCGCAAACACGTAAACGTCGGTGAAAAAGACGGAGCAGCACGGCTGTGCAGCGTGTGATCTGGACACAAGCGATGGAGGCACAACTTGTAGAACTTTGGAAAGCTCATCCGAGCCTTTTCGATGTGGCATCACAAAATTATCACGACCACAACAACCGTGAAAATAGTTGGATTTACATTGCTGCTCAATCACAGCTGCCTGATCAATGTTTTTCATTAGCAATTTAGCAAAGTTGATGGTGGTGGTGTGTCTGTGTGAGTGAAAGACAGAGAGGGAGAGCGACAGATTTTCTGTTATAACCTTAATTTTATGGAGGCACAGTGTGAGCACTCAGGTCGCATCAGAGCATCGGGCCGTATAGTGTGAGACCTGCATCGTGACCTACCAACTTCTAACCCCTGCGAGTCAATCGTGCAGTTTGAGCAGGAGCTGAATAACGCGACTGAAAAAATCGCACAGTGTCTGCCCAGCTTTAGGTGTACTGTCGTCCGAGACTTGCACCGCAGTGTCGGCGTTTGTTTCCCTGTTGGCCATGCTTCTTGTTGTGGTCATCTGTTGTCTTCCGGTATTTTCTCCGTAAGCGACCTTTCCTCGACCAATGAGATGAGCGGTAATCTGAATTGTTATACTCGAATTGTCATAAGTGTGCTGTCAGCTCATTGGTCACAAAGCAGGAGAGGGGCTGGGAATTATGTTTTCAAACAAAGTGTTAATTCCATTAAAAGTTATAGACTACTTTTGATTCTCACTGTATTACGGGACAAAGTGCGTCCCTTATTAGCTCAATACGGGACGTGTACTTTTGTTTCTAAATACGGGACGATTCCGTATTTTAAGGGACGGTTGGCAACCCTAGTCGCGCCGCTGTGTCGTAATCGGGCTACAAGCAGCCTCTGAAGGTTTTAGCTCAGAGTAGTGGCCAGCGCAAAAAGTAATGTTTAATGTTAAACACTCTGATATTTAGACAGACATCACTAAATGACGGTATCTCACACTGGCTTTTTACAGCACTTCTGCCATGGTAAAACTTATTAGCTTATTACCCGTTTTGTAACCAGTTTCAATGTTATCTTTGCATGAAAACGTTATGTTAACCTTGACAACAAACTGGGCCAAGCACGCGTTGTCATGGAGACGCTTTCATGGGTCGGTGTAGGATATGTGCGCCAATTATATGACAGTGATATAAGTAACTTGCATATTGTCTAATATTGTTTTTTCACTTTTTCAATAGTCACCGTTTATCCGGTGCAGCACTGTTACTTTAAAGTAATGTTTAAAGCTGACTTGACAGTTTGTCAGCTGGTGTAAGATTGCCTAATGTACTGTAAGTTAATGTCACACGCAAATTAAAGTTGTACTTCATGCTCTGTATTATAAGATTGCTACATTTTCAGAGCTTTTTACATAATGGGGAAGGAGACAATATTTAAGGAATGATTGTGTGTTGTTGATGTATACTGTGTTACAGATAGTATTAATTTTTCTATAGTTATTGCATTTTTTTATCATAGTAACAAAAAAATGTTTGAATTCAAGCTTGCATTTATGTTACATGTCATGTATGTTATCAATCATATACTTGATATAGTAGACAAGTGGTCATATGTAAGTTAATATGATTCCTTACATATTTTTTTCATGATGTCTCTGGTTTTGGCTTGTTGATGTATTCAGCTTCTGCATCTATGGATTCCTTCTGTGTGTTAGATATGGATGTTTTATCCCATTGCAAAAGTGCTTTTGGCAAAATTGACTATGTCTCTTGTGTTTCAGGGGTGGAGTTCATGCAGTGCCGATTTTGCAAATTCACAAGCTCCAGTCAAGAGACTCTTTTGAAACATTTCCGCCTTCATCACGGACAAGGTGCACATTGGCCATGCATTCACAGAGACTGTGTATGTGTATTTAAAACACCTGGAGCATTACGATCACACCTCTCAAGGTCACACTCAATAGTAAAAATCCACAAAAATTCCACATTTCAGTGTGAACATAATATATATTTGCATATCTATCTCTCTCTTTACTATAAGAGTTCTGATTTTGCATTGTGTGTAGGTACACCACGTTACTATACTAATTTAAATGCTTGTTTTCCACTGAATACTCTTTAGACATCTGACATTGTGTCCCACCGAAAGACAGCAGCACTGAGAGGCCTGCCCATTTTCCTCGGAGAGGATGCAACACAGGTTTTCCTGAAGTGCTTAGTAAGTACAAAAAAGTAATGCAAGAAAAACTAATTGCTATGAGATGTTTTTAAAAGATGATTTAATCCAAAATGGAAATGTACACTTCCTCAGTGCAGTCCAGATAATTTTATGGTGAGGATTGCAGTTGTCATAACTCTCGCTGCTTTTTTTTCTGCTGAGGGAGCACCTGGGCATTGTTAGTGGGTGTTCAACAGCAGAAAATATTTTTGTACAAAACTCATCACAAGGTTGGTTGGTGAAAGATATTGTGCCGTTAATTAAAGGAAAATAAGCTTTTTCTTTTTAAAACCTCCATGAGTCAAATGAGCATCATGGTATAGAGGTTAAAGTTAAGATCTTTAGAAATGTATTTTGTCTTTAATTTTTCTTAGCTTTCAATAATTCATATTTTACTTTTCTTCTCTTCAGGACACTGACATTTTGGAACCAGTGTTGAACGGTGCATCAGTTGCCATCCTCACCATCCTGCAAGATGACGATGCCGATACTTCTGTGTGAGAACATGCTGTTGTGTTGGAAGGGGACATCGTGCTACATAACATTCCAGACCTCTCTACTGCCTTGGCATACCTCTTTGGCCTTCTGTATGCCCTCAACATTGATTATCCAAAGCAGATGAGTTTACCTTTGAAGCTATTCAGGGCATCTTTTTTTAACTCTGTGGCTCTCGATGCTCACAGCGCATAAGGTCTCTAAAAACAAAGCTTTTGCTCTGACTGTTAACGGGGAAGCCAGACATGAGTTTAACTTGTTCTTAAACATGTTCAAGTGCATTGTAGAGTCATGTAAAAAAAAACAAAAAAAACAACAACCCAGTAGTTCAACCCCTTTCCCTCTATATAATCGTTCATTTTACCTGATAGTTCACTGTTCATTGATGGTAACATTTCTAATAACTTTTGACTTCTGTAGTTCATCATAGTGAGCCCATGTAAAATGTCAATATCTGGGTACAAAGGCAATTGTTTGTTGCACTACCCTATTTAGTGTGCAATAGTTAAGTTAAGCTTTTACAAGACAGTCAGGGTGTGAACTAAGCTGCTGGACACTTTTCTTTTTTTCTGGACTCTGGAATTTTAATGTCTCTGCTGGGGTGCTCAAAGCACCCTAAAGAAACTGGCAACACGTTTTTTTCTGTTTGTTTGCTTTTTTACAGAAATTCACCCCACTGCCCATGACCTTCTGAAATATACTGAAAGCACTGTTGAAAAAAATAAATACGTTTTTACATAACATTCAGTTGTGCTTTGTTTTATTCTATATCTGTTTGAGTGTTTTTTCAAGTACGATAACAGCATACATTTTTCTTTATTAATATTGGTAAATTTTCAACTCACTGGAGTAAGAATTGTATGATTATTCAACAAGAATATCTGTGTTTGGTGAATTTAGGAATACATGGCCTTGGAGGGAATGATTGTATGTTAATTCAACAGGAATATCTTTGTTTGGTGAAGGCAGAAATACATGGCATTGAAACCAGAATTTCTTTGTTAGACTTACAGGATTATCCTAATTAGGTGAACAAGTAGATCCAAGTTGGCAGAACATGAAAATATTAGTTAAGTCAACTACAGTTGGCAGAAGTTGAGAAAACTCAAAAATCTCTTGCATCATGTTGCCTTGAAATTTTAAGTTTTCTCAACTTTTTCTTTTTTACAGTGTGCTAAATGGACTGTTTTGTACTTTAACCGAGCATTTTTAATACTACAGTCTATATTCACACAGCAATTTTCAGTTTTTTCATATGGACTGGATTAGCTGACCTTGAGATGAGCTAGCTCTGCCTCCTGAATTAAATTTAAAAAAAATTCTGTGTGCTACTTGAAATGTATTGTGTTTAATGTATTGGATTATTACAATTATTTAAAAAGATTAATTATAATTTTTCCACTGTATTCAAATATTTTTGCATCTCTAAGTTTTTAGGTTTATTCCTCTTCTGCACAAGTGTTTGTTTACTTTTTTCAAAGTGCAAACAAACAACAAGATAAGTAGTGAGATTTCACTGTCTGATTTGTAGATATTATATATCTACAGTGTAAATAAATCGCTCAGGGGTTTAAGGGCGTGTGTGTGTGTGTGTGTTGGGGTCTTAATGAAAAATAATGAGTTAATCCTGCTGACCACCATAAGCGGACTACTTCTTTTGAGACTGCACATTTAAGAAAAGCAGCGTCATCGATCAATTGTGTCGGTTCTGAAACAGTTAATAGTTTGCGCGTTCACAAACGCAAACACACACATACACATAGACCGGGGGCGCGCAGAAGCTCACCGGGAACGCGAAGCAGGAGCAGATCAGACAGCAGGTCGGTCGGTGAGCGGAGAGACGCACGAAGTCCTGGCGATAGAGCAGCAGACCTGAACCTTTGGTTTGTGAGGCGGCTTTTTCTTCTCCTGTGGACTACCGTTACGGGAAGTTTTATTCAACAGTGCGGACCTACGGAAAGGCTGTCCACCATGTCGGGGAGCAGGGAGGAGGAGAGGAGGAAACTGGCCGACATCATCAACCACTGGAACGCCAACCGGCTCGACCTGTTCGAGATCAGCCGGCCCACAGAGGTAGGAGCTCAGCCAGGAGTGGCAGGAGAGGCCGCGGACACGCGGGCCCTCTCCTGGGGGTGGGGGGGCCCTGTAAACCTACCCCCGGCTGACCCTTGGGTTGAAAATGTTGAAAGCCAAGCAGTATTGGGCAGCGTGGTTTTCTTGGGTTACTCGGTGGCAAGTCCCCGTACGTGCTGCGAGAGAATGAATGCCAAACTCCATTGAAAAATGTCAGGATTTGCCAGATAGTAGGGTAAACACATTGTTCAAGATGGTGCCTATAAATTTAATTAAATCTTTGAGCCCTCACGGCAACCCAGGCAAACTATTTAACAGTCCATGGCTGAGCATCGTGTATAGGTAAATCTGCCTCTATCGCTTTATTTTAAAAGAAACTGTTCACACTTGCGTAGCTATTACCGCCCACAGCTGTGTATTTGGGAAGTGGCAGGAATAATTTTGAAAGTTGGCAAATCACAGAAGCTCTTAAGATTATGTGTGCGATAAATATGCCGAATTTGGCGCGAATGTGAGTAGAGTATTATCTACCTTGAGGTTTATTCTTGCTTCTGTGGATGCGTGCGATAAGTAGGTAAAGATGTAATTTCCAGATTTCTGAATGGGATTTGGTGCGTTATCTTCCGAACGGAACGTTAACTGGGCTAGCTAGCTAGTCAGTTAGCAAGCACTTTACCTGTAGAGCAAACATAAGCTGTGCTACTATTAAACAGAATAACCCCCCCCCCCCCCCCCCCAATTGGTTTGCACATGTCGAGGAG